AGTTTACATTGTTTAAGCTTAATTAAAAACCTGCATTTCTCTTAAAAAAGATTCAGACTGAGCCTAGGGTTATTTCTAAGCAGGAAAATAAATACAAAACAGGATAACAAATATTAAAAATGAGAGGAAATAAGTTGAAAAGGTAAAGTTGAGATATAAACTGCAGATTGGAGAAGGATTAAAATGCACAGTGTGATTTTATTGAATGGGCTCAAGTTTAGCTTTATGTGATGTTGCTGCAAAACAATAACAAAAACAAACCTGTTTAGCTACATACACAATTGTAATAACCTTTGCATAAGTACAAAGACATTACAAAATACAAGTATTCATAAACAATACCCTGATTGATAAAACTATCTTTGACAAAATTCTTATGAAATATGTAGTGGTTACTTTCATTGTTAAAAACATTGCATCAAATGCCACTTAGAAAACAAAAACAAAAACAAAAGAGGAAAACTGGAAGGCTAGGGATATGCATATATAGGGGCTGGGTGTAAAATTCAGTCAGCCTGCATGAGTATTTCTCTGCTAACCTGACATAAACCAGCAGCAAACTCAGTACCTACACAGATGGGGAAAAAATGGTAGGTCATTTAATCATTCCTCCCTAAATAGAGATTTTTCCTCCACCACTGAAGTTTTAGCAACACCCATACCCTTCTATTTTTAATTTAGCTCTAGATAATCTTATTCTTCTGTTTGGTATACAACCTCTTGTATAGAAAAAAAAAATGTCTACGTATATGTTTATCTATGTGATGTATGTCCTGCGTTTACATATCAGAGTTTGATTAATCAGTATTTACTCTAGAAAATGATGTACAGATAGCTTTTGGGCTTGGTATACCTATACTGTATTGTTACTTGAGGACAGTTAAGAACCCTTGAATGAATTATAGAACTGAAATTGGTGAAGGTGGAATGATAGCATTCTGTTAAAGTTGAGTTGTTTAACAGATGTATGTGCCTATAAGGGAGTCAATCCTTCCTTTACTCAGAAGATTTCTCAGAATATATTGCCTTTGATCTGCTTGAGCAAGCAAACATTCAACCATAGAAGCCACAAAAACTTTGCCTCATATCACAGAGCACCAGTAACATTACACTTTATAATAGAAAAAAGGTTCAAGCTAATTTTCAATCTAAATGTTCCTCATTCAAAATAAAGTTTCAACAATATATTTTAGAATGTCTAGCTTTAAATAATATTGCTTATGTATTCTACAAGATAAACCATTTGTGTACTCTATGCCAAGCTAAACAATTGCAATAACTAGTTATATGGACTGGTATTTTCAAACAGACAACGGTGAAGAGACTCTGCCAAAATTAATAATAATTTTACTAAAATCCTTAATTTTTCATGATTATATATGTATCAATAAAGTGCATATAAGTATGTAAAGTTTTAAAAAATAAACCTTTACTTTGATTATAGTTTTAGATTTACAGAAATGTGGCAAAGATAATAGAGAGAGTTCCCATATACCCTTCACTCATTTTCCCTTGTTTTTAACATCTAATATTATCATGGTGCACAACAACAAAGAAACCAGCTTTGGTACATTAATATTAACAGAAATCCAGATTTTATTTGGATTTCATTATTTTCTCCACATTTTTTTTTCTATTCCAAGATTCCATGCAGAATATCACATTACATTAATTATCATGTCTCCTTAGTCTAATCTGGTACATGAGAGGTTCACAGACATTACTTGATTTTTATGACCTTAAAAGATTTAAGGTGTAATGGCCATGTATTTTGTAGAATGTCACTCAAATTAAGTTTGTAATTACTTTTTTTTTTTTTAAAGATTTTATTTCTTTATTTGACAGAGAGAGACACAGCGAGAGAGGGAACACAAGCACGGGGAGCAGGAGAGGGAGAAGCAGGCTTCCCGCGGAGCAGGGAGCCCGATGCGGGGCTCGATCCCAGGACCCTGGGACCATGACCTGAGCCGAAGGCAGACGCTTATCGACTGAGCCACCCAGGCGCCCCTGTAATTACTTTTTATTCAAGTGAATTCCTTTTCAAGGAAATAAAGCCATGGCATATGTAAATTTAGCAAATAATTTAGAGTTATAGTTCTAGTTATAGCAAATAATTTAGAAGTGTGGTAGACAAATGTAGGTTTGTTGAAGATAATAAAGAATACATCCTTATGCTACCACATAACCCCTTTAAAACAATCTAAAAAGAGCCCATTACTATTTAATACTGCCTCTCCTGATGGTATTATAGACATCACTGTCTGTAAGTATAGTCACTATTAAAATTTGCTCATTAACAATTCTTACCTAAAAAAATCAATGGCTTATGTAAATGTAAAAATATTGAAAAACAACTGAATATGTTACTCCTGTTAACTTATCCAAAATGTGGTCTAAAAGCTTTATGACATTGGATTTGGCAATGATTTCTAAGATGTGATATCAAAAGCACAGGCAAGAAGAGAAAAATAGAGAAATTGGATTACATCCAAATTAAAAGCTTTTGTGCATCAGAGAAAAAGGCAACCCACTGCAGAAAATATTTACAAATCATACCTCTGATGAAGGATTTTAAGTACCCAGAATATCTTTACATATCTAAAATATGTAAAGAACTCCTATAACTCAACAATAAAGAAAGTACCCCGTTAAAAATGGGTAAAGGTATTGAGTAGATATTTCTTCAAAGAAGATACATGAATTGCCAATAAACACATCAAAAGATGCTCAACATCACTAATCATTAGGAAATTATAAATCAAAAGTACATGGAGATACTACTTAGAATGGCAATTATTTAAAAAAAGGCAAAACAAACAAACAAAAAAAACTGAGAAACTAACAAATGGCAAGAAATTAAAACTCTGCTCTGCAGGTGGAAAATAAAAGTGCAACCACTGAGGAAAACAATGTGGTGATTCCTTAAAAAAATTAAACATAAAATTATCATGTTTCATCAGTTCCACTTCTGGGTATATACTCAAAAGAATTAAAAGCAGGGACTTGAACAGATATGTGTACACCCAAATTCATAGCAGCATTATTCAAAATAGTCAAAATGTGGAAACAACCCAGATGTCCATAGACATATGAATAAATAAGCAAAATGTGGTATTTGCATATGGTGAACAATATTCAGCCTTAAAAAGGAATGAAATTCTGATCCATGCTAAAACATGGATGAAACTTAAGGACATAATGCTAAGTGAAATAAGCCAAACACTAAAGGGAAAATGTTTTATGATTCTACTTATTTGGGCTACCAGAATAGACAAACTCAGAGACAGAAAGTAGAATGGTGTTTGCCAGAGGTGGGGAGAAAGGGAGAGCAGGAACAATGGGGAGTAATTGTTTAATGCATAGAGTTTCAGCTTTGAGAGATGAAAAGAGTTCTAGAGATGGATGGTGTTATCGGTTGCACAGTAATGAGAATATACTTAATGCCACTGAGTTATACACTTAAAATTTATTAAAATGGTAAATATTATCTTATGTGACTTTACCATAATAAAACAAACAAATAAGGTCTATGCTGGAAGAACTATGTTTAAACATGTCTGATACTTGCAAGATACCAAATTTTCATTCAAGTAAAAACAAAAAATGACAAAAATTTGCAGTATGGAATGCCTTAGAAAAATGAAAGATCTAATCAAACAACCTTACAAACATGCTACTGATAGACCTCCTGGTAAGACTACTAATGATATTAATGAATGGAAAATTCTTATCTTTATGATGTTTTTAGCAATACATCCAAAGCATGTTAAGACTGCTTATTTAAATACATGTGGAATCAGAATTATAGAGGACATAGCTGGCCAGGGAATGGGGGCCAGTCTTGCAAAATAACAAATGGGTTATAAATCAGAGATGCCTGATAACTGAAATGGCTCTTTAGTGATCCCCATATTTTTATAGAAAAAACTTATAAGGTAAATCCAAAACCCAAATGCATCCTGTTGTACAAGGAAAAAGCATTTTATGAACTTTTTTTCTGATAGGCTTGGACTTCTCAAAGAAAGAGAAAAAAGTTTCATCTTCAAATGGCGTTTGCTTATAAAACCTACAAGAAATCCCTTGATTTCTTGAATCATTATTGGAATTTGGTGCTGGGTAAAATCTATTATTTACACTGAGTTATATTTGACAACCCAAAACTTTGTGTTATCTTGGAGGAATTATCCAATAAAAAATGGTTACAAATTTAGCAGAAAAAAGACTTAAACTTTTTAAATAATGGGATAAATTATTACTTCTAAACAGTTATAAAGAAGATCATATCAATGAAGGTGAGATTGCATTATTCCATGTTTCTTCTTAATATCTTATAAGCATTTGTTTAGTGTAAGTTTTAATATCTACTATGAGGACGAGAGACTATGTTGGGTCTCAGTTAAAAAGAGATCTGGGAATTAAAAAAATCAGTTAAACTTGCTATGTAGAGGGAAAAATACATTTCCCAGTAATTAGCTGAAACTTCACAACATAATTCTCCAGGTTCAATTATCAAGTAGTTTTATTCCACAATCAGTCTTTATTGCCAGAATAACAGTTCTAACCTCAGAACTTTATTGGATATATACTTTACAAAGTGCTTAAAAAAAATCTATGTTTTAAGTTGTATGAAGCTTTAGATATTTTACTAGTCCTTAATTAATTTAGAGTATTTTAAAAATATCCACCAATTCTTGATAAACCAGGTATTAGAAAAGTAAGTTCTATTTTGTCATCTTCTTAATGTAAAAATTCTTCCTTTTATCTGCAGTTCACTGCTTATGGATCCAGTAATAACCTCAGCTAAGGAGGATCAAAACAGAAGATAGAATTTTATTTATTTATTTTTATTTTTTAATTTTATTTATTTATTTTTTTTTTACTGCAGCACTTTTATTTCCTCACACAATGAATGACGTGTTGCTGGGGCCTAATGTTCTCACATGACAGTAGAAAACCAAAATCTGTTGTCATCTCTTAAAGAATTGAGAATTGTGTACAAAAACCTTACATAAATTAAAAGGATGAATAAATTTACAGTTGTAAATGCAAACCGTTTTCCAACTCAAGGCAATTAACAACCCACGGTGTTCTGGCAGGAAAACATCAGGTAAGAAAGGAAAAGTGGGTCTTGAGGCTCGGACCTTCCCAACCCTGTTAGACCGGCAAGACAGAAATGACAACTCATTCAGGACTCTTGTCAGCCTCCAGAGAAATCCTGGAATAGGCAGCTCTTAGACATTAATACCCTGCACAGATCAAGAGCCTCATGGTCTTGCAGATTCTCCAATCAATGGATTTCTCTTCCATCAACGTGATCTCAACCTCAGCCACGAACTGACTGAGCCGCATGTGCTAAGGGTTTAAATCAAAGATATGTACAGGGTATTAAACATATACCAAGGGAACAGTTAACTTGGATACAAGGTCAAGATTAGCAACAAGTTCTACAATCCGGTGCTGATATTAGATACAAGCTTCAAGGACAAATTTCTTTTCAAAGGCTTATTCCAGTTTCATGAGGCTAGCATGAGGTGTATACATTTGCCAGGGCAAACCTATACTCCGGAATTCACTCATGCAGCAAATGCTACGCATCTGCTCACAGTCCATTTAGAAGCATTTGCGGCGGACGATGGAGGGGCCTGACTCGTCCTGCTCCTGCTTGCTGATCCACATCTGCTGGAAGGTGGACAGTGAGGCCCGGATGGAGCCCCCGATCCACACGGAGTACTTGCATTCAGGAGGAGCACTGATCTTGATCTTCATCGTGCTGGGCGCCAGAGCTGTGATCTCCTTCTGTCTCCATCCTGTCGGCGACGCCAGGGTACATGGTGGTCCCGCCAGACGGCACCGTGTTGGCGTAGAGGTCCTTCCGGATGTCCACGTCACACTTCATGATGGAGTTGAATGTGGTCTCGTGGATGCCACAGGACTCCATACCCAGGAAGGAAGGCTGGAAGAGAGCCTCCGGGCAGCGGAACCGCTCGTTGCCGATGGTGATCACCTGCCCGTCGGGCAGCTTGTAGCTCTTCTCCAGGGAGGACGACGATGCAACCGTGGCCATCTCCTGCTCGAAAGCCAGGGCGACGTAGCACAGCTTCTCCTTGATGTCACGCACGATTTCCCGCTCGGCTGTGGTGGTGAAGCTGTAGCCACGCCCCGTGAGGATCTTCATGAGGTAGTCCATCAGGTCCCGGCCAGCCAGGTCCAGACGCAGGATGGCGTGAGGCAGCGCGTACCCCTCGTAGAAGGGCACAGTGTGGGTGACCCCGTCCCCAGAGTCCATGACAATACCAGTGGTGCGGCCAGAGGGCTACAGGGACAACACAGCCTGGTTGGCCACGTACCTGGCCAGGGTGTTGAAGGTCTCCAACATGATCCGGGCCATCTTCTCGTGGTTGGCCTTAGGGTTCAGGGGGGCTTCGGTCAGCAGCATGGGGTGCTCCTCGGGGGCCAGTCGCGGTTCATTGTAAAAGGTGTAGTGCCAGATCTTCTCCATGTCGTCCCAGTTGGTGACAATGCTGTGCTCAAGGGGGTACTTGAGGGTCAGGATGCCCCGCTTGCTCTGGGCCTCGTCGCCCACGTAGGAGTCCTCCTGGCCCATGCCCACCATCACACCCTGGTGTCTGGGTCACCCGACGATGGACGGGAACACGGCCCGGGGGGCGTCATCCCCAGCAAAGCCCGCCTTGCACAAGCCGGAGCCACTGTCGATGACGAGCGCGGCGATCTCCTCTTCCATTGCGGTCGGTGGAGGTGGCGGCAATGCACGCGAAGGATGAGCTGCGGGAGAACGTGGAGCGCAGCCCGGCTGCAGTGAGTGAGACCTATTTTTTAAAGATTTTATTTATTTATTTGACAGAGAGACAAAGCGAGAGAAGGAACACAAACAGGGGGAGTGGGAGAGGGAGAAGCAGGCTTCCCGGGGAGCAGGGAGCCCGATGCGGGGCTCAATCCCAGGACTCTAGGATCATGACCTGAGCCGAAGGCAAATGCTTAATGATTGAGCCACCCAGGGGCCCCAGGAGATAGAATTTTAAATATCCTCTGTTAGCAACAGGTAATCTGTAGGTTTTGGAAGCTTCTCTACCAATCTTCCCAAAGCAGTCAAAAGTGAAGAAGACTCTACACCAATGGTTAGAGTAAGGGAAGCAATTTTGAGTCTTCAATATCCATTCTAAAATTGTTTGAGAGCCTGGAATGGTTATTGATAATCTAAATATTGATCAGTAGCAAAAGGTGAGCTAGAAAATATAATGTTAACATTATTTAATTTATATTCAGATAAAATGTTTGCATTAAGTACGCTTTATTTAAAATAATACAGAAGAAGCCTTATTTTTGACTTCATGTTGTCTTTAAGGTTTTTCAGGAGGGAATGTTAACTTCCCTGTAGTTTAATGAAAAATTTGGACATCCCCATAAATTCTTCATTATTCTAAAGTAATAATAATGTCTTAATAATAATGATCACATTATGGTTCAAACATACAACATCAATTTGCTAATTATATGTGTCCAATCTCATAATTAAGACATCAATTTGCATTCAAAACATGACACCCACAATTTCCCAAATAGCACATGGCTCAAATGTTTTCATCTGCTTTCATGGAATGAAGTGTGGCAGATTTTCTTATAGCTCTGTAATTCCTCCCTTGCTAGGAAATTTTCACTAAAAACCAAAGCAAATGAGAAAGCTGATAATACTCCAAGATGCAAACACTCTGACCAAACATCAAAAGGGAGTTCAGCCTTATGCATTAGTGCAGGCCCTATGGTGGCTTTGTACCATGTCAACATAATTAACTTGAAATTCGATTTTCAAAATATCTTTCCCTCTATAATTCTGGGTTGGGGTGGACTACAAGATAAATTTTCTTGACATTTGGATGACAGAGGTGAAATAGCATCCATTATTATGCTGTGAAGGTTGAAGTAAGAACAGACATTGTTGCAACTTGCATTTGTTGTCCTCTGTTGCATTTGTCTAGAAATTCTGTTGGCTTGGGGTAGCATCTCAAAATGGAGCTCCTTTAGCATCCAATAGATGTCCTCCTTCAATAACTTTAAATCCTGAGCCAGGAGTTCTTTGAGGTTTTGTAGGGAGGAGCTCCAGTTTATAATGTAGAAATTAAAGAAGTCATGAGAGACTGATGAACATTCTATTTGTCCTCACTCATTGCAGTTTGTTCTGGTACCTTTCCTCTCTAGGCCTGATACTATTGCAAAAATGAGTATTACATTAACTGCTTAACCAGCTCTCAAAATTGTGCAGTCTAGCCCATATTCTAAGCCCCTTATGTTATGCCATCATAGGCAACTTTAGATTGTCTCTTGGTTAGAAGTCAACCATGTATCAAACACCACTCCAGAGCTTGTCTTCCTAAATTTCAAGGGAGATACATGTCCAAATTTTAGGAGGGATATAAATGATTCTTTCTAGTGGTCTTTGATGCCCCACTCACTAAGTCTAAAAGGAGGACAGTGCTTTATTAGAGGTAATTACTCCCTCCTCATATAGATTTGGAATCATAGCACAGTGTTTCACCAAAGATATCCTTCTTCCAAAACCTTTTCTCAATCTCTACACCTTGATTAATTTACTATCTCCTTAGATTAAAAGCCTTTGAAATCCTACTTAGAAATTTCTACATGGTATTCTGATAACTCACTTAGTGATGTTTCTCCAATTTGATGCTATTTTCAAACAAAAATTTTACATTTTTTTATGTAATAGAACATAGTCTAAATATTTTAGATATTTAGATATTAACTCATTTAATTTACCCTGCTGCTGCCATGAGGTGAAAACTGAAGTTCCAATTTACACAGAGAGTAAGGGGTTATTTTTGGTTGCTTCTCAGCCAACCTGACTACAGACTACATTTTAATGCACATTGTTACACTAATTTACATGAATTTCAGTAAAGAATGGTGGAAATATAGTACGTTTTACTGGATTCTTTCCTATCTCAAATTATTCAGAAACTAACATAGGAGTTATGGGAAAAAATGTGTCTCTCTCATTGGTGTACAATTTGGCTTTGGTGTTCTATGGACTAGCCCCTTTGTGAGATAGCAAAGGGTTTCAATCAGGTTTTGTACAGAATTCAATAAAAGGACTCAGTATCTGTAGGGGAGGAAGAAGTTTTCCTCAGCCCTCTTAGGGTCCCTGACTACATCTGAACATTAATCTGACAAAGACATATTTACAGAAGAAAAACATACAAATTTTATTAAATTTTTACATGTACATCACAAGATAATGAAGACCTGGAGAAATGACCAGATCAGGAAGCTTTTATGCCTCTTAAACAAAGAGGCAATAAATTTTTGAAGAATTGACAAGACAAAGACGTTTGGGCTGGGGTAGTAAATGGTGAAGTAACTAGAAAGATAAGGGTTAGTCTAACAAGGTTTGTTGGAGATTCCTCCGGTGCAGTCTTTGGGCTGATAAGAGTCTGTCTCCAGGAGAATTTATTTCCTGCCTTTAGGCAGAAAAGGAGGAGCTTTTTCTGCATTTACTCCTTAATTGCTTTCAGTTCAAGATAAGATTTATGTCAAAGAGGCAAATATTGGAGTGACATATCCTGCTTTCTTTCATAACCAAATGACAGAGGGAAATTTTATCTGACCTTGTATGCTGTAAAAATTGAACAGTTCTGGCATTCAAACTTAAAAAACATGCTTGTTTATTTTGCACTCATTACTCAAACAAAACATAAGAGTATGGAGTCCCCAGTTTTACCTACAACTATGGAATAAGATAGTTCCTAAAAATGTCAAAATTCCTGCCAGGTTATGATTCTCAGAATACACAAGTATTCCACCTCAGACTGACTCTCCATTTTACCATAGGTTTGGTCCTCAACCACTCTCCTCAGAGATGGTATGAATAAGGACAATTAGCTGTAATTATTTTCTTTCTCTTGGTTCTCAAACTAGTACTCCCCAGTCAGATTCTCCCAGAAAGCCATGCTTTTCTTGAAATGAGAGGTAAAGAAAGCCTAACAGTTTTTCACTCCAGGCAGAACTGAGCAGCTAGGCTTCCTGAGTTATTTATTAGAAGTGCTTTTGTCATACATAGAGCCAATTGCTCCCTGATTATTTTTCCAGACTTATTTCTCCAGACCTTTTTCTTCTCACTCACTAGTGGATTCTAGCATATTCACTCCTTTCTCTTCCAGAAAAAAAAAAAAAAAAAACTGATTTCTGCCATAGGGTTTTTTGCACTAACTATAACCTCATCTAGGAATGTACCTCCCCCACATATTTTCATGGATAACTCTTTAGTATGTTGGTCTCTGATAAATATCACCACCTAAGAGAAGTCTTCCCACACCTTGCAGTTATGTATCCCATGTTTTTAGTTTCAACATAGAACTAATGACTACATGAAAATTCCTTGTGTTTTTTTTCCCTCTATGAATTATCTGTCTCCTCAGCTTGATTGTAAGTTTGAAGAGAGGTAAAAATGTGTGTATCTCATTCAACATTCTTTCTCTGTGCTATGTAAGAGGAGTTCAATAAAACATCTGTGAATTGAATGGATGAATGAATAACTCTTTAACTAGATTTTTTTTCTTCATGAATATGTCATGAATGAAATCTATTGGATATATTTAACATGGGATTCCAGTTTATTCCATGTGAGACAATTGAAAATATTTTATTTTATTTTATTTTATTTTATTTTATTTTTTTAAAGATTTTATTTATTTGACAGAGAGAGACACAGCGAGAGAGGGAACACAAACAGGGGGAGTAGGAGAGGGAGAAGCAGGCTTGCCCGCAGAGCAGGAAGCCTGATGTGGGGCTCGATCCCAGGACCCTGGGATCACGACCTGAGCCGAAGGCAGACGCTTAACGACTGAGCCACCCAGGCGCCCCCAATTGCAAATATTTTAATTTTACCTTATACTTTTGCCTGACCATTAGACCTTTGGGATTTGGTTATATTTTTCCAGCAGGAGAATTTTTGGGCCCATTTTTCTGTATAAGACAGTTTAAGACCGGAGATATCACTGTTTTACTAACATGTACCAGTTGTATTCTTTCTAAAGAAAGGATTTTAAGTATTTACATTAATTATAGAGGACATAAAACACTCAGCAAGCTCTTCTGGATCAGGAAGTGCTTCCATATACCATTTCATTTCATGGCAGGGGTAATGGCATTTTGCTCCAACCAATCTTTTAGCATTGGTCATGTCTCAAAATCAGAAAGAGAAACAATCCCCCTTTATACTCACAAACCAGGACCTGAGGTTTAAAATAATGCTTAGTGACAGAACAAATTATGCAAATTTTGCTGAAAACCTATTGAGGGAAGCTCCTTCTGTCACCATCTAATCCTTAGAGTTGAAGTTGGTAAGAGTTGAGGATTGGCAAGAGACTTACTGAGGCAAATAACAGTCAGATCTTCTGTCCATCAGGTTTTGTTTTTTTTTTCCTGATTGGAGCAAGTATCAGAGTAACATATAGGAAAATGAGATAAAAAATATACTTCATAAATGGGCTAAGAAAGTAGCTCATAATTCCATATGCACATATCTCTTGACAATACTAAGATTAGGGAAGCATATTCATTATAAGACCAAATGAAACTCTCTTCCTCTCAAAAATCTTAATTTCCGAGCCCTTAATTTCATGTTTGTTGAGAAGTCTTATTAAATTTCTTAGACATAAGGACTATCAACAGCTATTGTCATAAACTCATTCATTCATTTTTAAAAAATGAAGCACATTATTGACTACCCACTGTATTCTAGGAACCTAACAAGGTGATGGTAATAAAATGTTGAATTAAGAACATTTCCTGTTAACACTTAGATGCTTACATTCTTCTGGGAGAGGCAACATAAAGCAAATAAATAGAAAAAAGTTTCCATATAGAAGGTACTAAAGTAAGATCATTGAGGCCACAGGACTGAGAAGGAATGTATTTTATGATTAAATAAGCTGCTTTAAATTATTTTTCTCACTGGAATTATTTTATAATTAAAAGACTGATAGGAAGATATAACATTTTCAGTAAAAATTTATTTTATCATGCCAAACGATGAATTCTGAAAATGTTTGTAACACACATCATAAAACTTTTTAAAATGCTCATTTTCTATGAATTATTGCCTTATAAATCAGTAGATACACACAATTAAAAGTAATTTACAGTAATCTACTAAGAAGAATTGACTTGGTTCACAGAGGGATTCACTGTTTGTGTTTAAAGAAACAAATGATGGGGCGCCTGGGTGGCTGAGTCAGTTAAGCGACTGCTTTCGGCTCAGGTCATGATCCTGGAGTCCCGGGATCGAGTCCCACATCGGGCTCCCTGCTCAGCAGGGAGTCTGCTTCTCCCTCTGACCCTCTTCCCTCTCGTGCTCCCTATCTTTCATTCTCTCTCTCTCAAATAAATAAATAAAATCTTTAAAAAAAAAAAGAAACAAATGATTATTTCATGCTTACTTCAGTGGAGGCATCAAGATGTATTATGATCGAATAATTAATCTCTTCCAGCTAATGAAATAAATATTTCAACATACAAATTTGACAGGTAAACAATTAAGAAAAAATTTGTGTTTAGGAAATAAAGAATACTATCTTTCTTTTCGCCCAACAGGGAAAACATTTGTTCTAAAGTTTTTGCAGCAAATCTGTTCATTTCCATTTTTTCATTTCAGTGTTCTTCATCAGTTCATGTCTATAAAAATCAAGTTATTTTTTCCACCTAAAAAGAATTTACTAACATGTGAGATTTAAATATATGGGAGTTTTAATTTCTTTCTCTCTCATGATTTTCTTTTGGAAATATATGAGATCATTAAAAAAGAAAAGCAGGAAAAAAAAAAAAAGAAAAGCAGGGGGAGTGGGAGAGGGAGAAGCAGGCCTCCCACCGAGCAGGGAGCCCGATGCTGAGCTCCATCCCAGGACCCTGGGATCATGACCTGAGCAGAAAACAGATGCTTAATGACTGAGCCACGGAGGTGCTTCTAATTAACTTTTAAAATATGTATATAATCAGGTAATTATTACTCTTCCCTTTAAGGAGACCAAAAAAAAAAAAAAAAGAGAAGAAAAGAAGAAGAAATGGAAATACTCCTTAAACTAAATAAAACCATCATGAAGGAAAATCATGCATGCTTTTAATCTACCATTAGAGCTAGTTAATAAGCAGATAACAATACATTTTTTAAACTTAAGCTAAAGTGAGAAAACAGGTTAAAAATTTATTTCATTTAAGTATCTCTTTAACTTCACTATATAATTAAAACAAAATTATCTTGGCAAAAATTCAAATAACATGGCATTTGGACATTTACTCATGAATCAAAATACATATATACCTCACTTTCCATTTCACACACCATTTTAAAATGCATACTCCAACCTTCAACTGAATTATTTATTTCTTTGGAAGATACTAGAAATGTGAAAAATAAGGAAGTTCCAATATAATGAAATCCAAAGTAGTTTAAATTGGCTTAGGAAAAAAAAATACTGTGATATAACTATAGAAACACAGTTGACACACAAGTGAAATCAGATTTCACATTATTTTATTTTCAATAACAGCACTACCACTCACAATTTTCAGCACAGAGTTATTCTCTGCCAAAACATTTATTTCTTTTATTGACAGGCTAAATGTGATCCTGTTCACTTTACCAAAAATCAGCTCATGTTAAAGGACCTCTGAAATGTTTTCCTGGTCAGAGATGGAATTTTTAGAACAGTAGTATTCAGAAATATTGGACAAGTAAACCTCTAACTTTAGGTTTTGAAAATATAATTAATTTTGAAAAAATAAGCTCCTTTGACTTGGGTGTTATCAGGCAAGTCAATGTATCTCTCACTAAAATAAGGAAATGATATTTACATTCATTTAAGGTAGTAATTTTGTATCTACAAATAGCCTGTGCATAATTGAAAATGCAATTATAAGGTGCACACACCTTTATTAGGAAGTTTACAAAACTTTAGCAACCACTGTAGAACAGTTGTTCTTTGTCTTTTTTAAGATTTTATTTATTTATTTGAGAGAGAAAGAGGAGGGGGGAGAGAGAGAGAGAGCACAAACTGGGGAAGGGGCTGGCAGAGAAGGAGAAGCAGACTCCCTGCTCAGCAGGGAGCCCATCGCAGAGTTCAATCCCAGGACCCTGAGATCATGACAAGAGCGGAAGGCAGATGCTTAACCAAATGAGCCACCCAGGTGCCCCAAAAGTTGTTCTTTTTTTATTTATTTGTATGAACAAATGGAAGAAATGTGAATTATCTTGTTTACAGTATTTTGGTGTAT